GGCGCATCGTCAAGCGGCCTGGCGGCCCGCCCTGCGCCGCGCTTGCGCCGCGCCGGCGCCAGCGGCGGCAGCGGCACCAGCCAGTTCGCCGCGTCGACCGGAGCAGCGGGCGCGTTCTGGGGTCCTGGTGCCGGCGCCAGCGTCACAGGGCATAGCGGTGGCCCCGCCGCCGCGGCCGCCGCCGCTGCGGCCGCACGTTGCGCGTGCTGTCCGCCACCGTCACTATCCACCGGCCGCGGCGGCGGCGGCGGCGGTTGCGACGCGGATCCCTCCAGCTGGAGCGGGCCGGCGGCGATAGAGCTGGTTACCAAGCTGTTAGCGCTGGGCATTGGGGGCCCGGGCGGGGGCCCCGGTGCGGAGAAAGAGGAGGAGGAAGAGCGGATGCCCTTCTTCCGCCGCAGCCGCAAGCGCTTTCCCATGCACTTTGGCCGCAGGCCGGAAGAGTACGAGGAGGACGAGGAGGAGGAGGAGAAGGGGCCCGGGGCTGGTGAAGAGGAGCGGCAGGGAGCTCCGCCAGAGGCAGCTCCGGCGAGGACGGCGGCGAGGACGGGGACGGCTGGGCCCGATGCCGCGGCGGCGGCGGCGGCGACGGCGGCACAGGCCGCTACGGAAGCGGTGCCCGTGGCGGCTGCAGGTTTAGAGCCGAGTGTAGGCGATCTGTAGGAGCAGGTGGCGCTGGCGGGGGGGAGGGGAGGGGAGGGGCGCAACAAGGGAGGGCTAGTTGGGCAGCGGGCTACGCTGGCGGGCGCCCAAGCCGGTTGAGCCCAGTTTCCGGCTCAAAGGTCTCTTGGGGGTTCGACTGGACTTCTTTTCCCCTCCCCTCATTACTATGTGGTGAATGCGGCGGGGGGGGGGGAGTAAGTCCAGGCTGCGGGGCTGCCTTACGTACCTAGCGGACGAGCATGAGACAAGTTTGACGAGGAAACGACAAACGGATTTGGCTTGTGGGTGGGGGCTGGCCTGGTCGGTTCCATTGCCCCGTGCGAGCAATGTGATACGGATTTGATACCGATGGTACGAAGTGGTGTGAATGGGTTTTCGGAGCCATCTTGGTGAGTGCGGGCTTATTACGGGGCTCATAACCTGTTAAGACCAGCAAAGCGCCGGACCCCCCTTGGGTCCTATTACTGTGGCTACCATTCACTGGTATATGAATGTCGGTCATTTCCAACAGTTTTGGACTCACAATTGTTTTGCAGTGTTGGATGACGCGAGGTGTGTGGCGTGGCTACTCTTTCCTTCCCGCTTGTTCTGAAGACCCATTGTAACCCGGGGGGTGTGAGTGGGGGGACTCAGTCAATCGCTGACTCGCTCATTCGCCACGCGCAGCAATATCGCCAGGAGGTGGGAAGGGTGAGTTTTGAGTCGAAACACAAGGTAAGAGACTTTGGATAGTAAAAATCAGGCAACTAATGAGCCGTACATATTTTTCCGCGTACGCAAAGACGTTGCAGCTTTGTTCCCTTCTTTCTCACGCACGGGATTTGAACGGAAAAGCATGGATGGCAAGGCTAACAGAAGAAGGGGGAGGGTAATTCACTAGGAGAGAGCCGACCATGCGTATGCTGTGGAAGGCACTTGGCAGGTATGAGCTTCAACATTCTTCGGACACTCTTCAATCAATGGCAAGTTTTGGGGAAGTATTGATGTTTGTCCTTATGCAGTGAATGGATGCCTAGATGGGGCTGTAGTACTGGTTGGTTAACAGGTTTTAGGGGCAGGGTTGCCTGAGAATCGACAACAAAGAGGTGTCTTTTGTCGGCGCACTGTTTGTGCAGTTTGTATATCGTGTAATGGAAAGACTATGGCTTAGCTTATGGACATTGAGAGCTGTGATGATATGGAAACTTGCTTAGCCATCAGTGACGGTTATGTACGAGTACGGCGTGTTGCGGCCTTTGTTGCTGATTACCCACCCCATTCAAACGTTATCCTTGTTGATGGACTTGGCTGTTAGTAACTCTGCGTTGTTTTCATTCTTTGTGAAGAACGTAGGGCAACTTTATCAAATATGGGCCTTCTCGATCGTCTGGGTGGACGGAAAGCTAGGGAGGAATCGCAAGTGCCTGAACCTACACCGACGCCTGAACCGGTCCCATCTTTGCCCTCAACATCCCCGCACTCCGACGCGCTGCGCGACGTTAGCCCAAGCAGCACTCTACTCGCATCGGCAACGATGACAGCACCTCAAGGGAGGCTATATAACCCTTATGAAGGGTTGGCGGCGCAGGTTGGTCCCACAAAGCACTTGTTCCGGCTTCCCGATGGTCCCGAGTTTGTGTTCGAGGAGGAAGCGTCCGTCAGGAGAAGAGACTGGACTCAGCACTTGCAATTTTATTGCGGAGGAGGATATCTTGCCGGTAAGAAGTCAGCAATCGATAACAGTTTGGCCATTTTGTTATGTCGGCTGGTTTGCCGCCTGATGGATGAGGGGCTTCCTTGCGTACAGGTGGGATCGTTGGAGTTACATCAGGCCTTTATAAATTTGCTGTCGACAAACCAGAGATTGTTACAGACACTCTAAAGCTAAAGACAAACAGGCTCCTGAACACGGCAGGTGCGATCGGGGCCAGCGGATTCCGCAGCCGCGTACTTTTTGGCCGCGATGTGTACGACTTGATGAGGGCACATGCTTATCTGCGTGTGGCATGCTTTCTCTGCCGATACCTGCCTGGCGACACATGCTCCACATGCTGATGTACGAGCGCGCGCCTCAACTCGGCAGTGCTCCACGTTCTCCAATTAAACAACATCCCCGATGCCCATTTGAGCTCCGTCCGATTTGTTCCCACCCGCGTCTTTGCGCCCATTCACCCACACACGCACCCGGTCAACCCATCTCACCGTGCCCCAGGTTCCTTCGCCCGGCCGTTCAGCAACAGCTGCGGCATTCTTGGGTTGTATTTCTCGGGATTTGAGAGCTTGTACATCTATCAGTTGGAGCCGCTTGGCTTGCCAGACAGCGCCAGCACGTTGCTCGCGGGTGGGTTATCTTCCACCGCGTGCGAATTCGCTCGCCACTGCTAGTCCGCACCTGTGGACCGGAGGGTTCCTCCCCCCCCCTTCCATCGGCAGCGGCCAACCACTGGGCCAACCCTGTCACTGTTGACTCGGCTGACGCTCGGTGCAATGCTAGGCGAGGGGGAGGTTAAGCCGGAAATACCCTAGGGACAGCGTTAGATGCTCCATGTTTGGCAGAGGGTTTCACTTCTCCTATTAGGGATAAGCCCATAACAGGACTTACCGCCATCGCCCTTTCATGGCAACCAGGTTCTGTTCTTAGAACACGGCAGTATGGCGTATCTGCTCCATTTCTTCGGTTTCGGTTTTCAGTATTTTGATTCATCTTGAAGGAGGCGCCGCCGCTGACGTTCTTTCCCTCGGAACCTTTGGGATGCTCGGCTCCAACGGCTCACCATTTCCCGTGTTACTTCCCACTATCCCACCCACTCGGGCAATCCTCAGGTTTCAGCAGCGGTGCCTTATTCCGACTGCCCCGAGGGCCGCGGCAGGCGGTGGTTGCGGGGCTGGTGGGTGCGGCGGCGGCTGGCGGCATCACGGCCCTGCGGAAGGTCTTCCCCTCCCTGTGAATTTCACCCACTCTCTCCCTCTCTCCCCCGCTCTCCCTGCCTTCCCCTCACTCGCGATGTGGAGAGGAGGCCTTAACCCGCTGTAGCGCTGGCGGCAGTAGCAGTAGCAGCAGCAGCAGCCGCGTGGTGGCGGTGGCAACAGTAACTGGCGATGGCGACACTGACGGCAGCAGCAGCAGCGGCAATGCCAGCGCGGGAAGGCGCCATCAGGTGGCTGCCGTACTGTGCCGTACTGTGTTGTAGTGCAGTGCAGTGTAGTGCCTCACACAAGCGTCCTCCCATGAGGGGGCAGTGAGGGGGGAATTCTGGGGCCGAAAGACCTCCTGATGTGCCCCCACTGCTCTGACCGGTGCTCCCCCAGTGCGCGATGACACGTGTGGCGGACTTGGGCGGTCAGTGAGGGCGGATTAGGGCGGGTCGGGACAGGGCGGCTGGCGGCTGGTGGAGAGGGCCCCAGCGCTCTTTTGTATCGTCGCCGCCGCCGCCGTCATCGCCCTGGGGGTCGCCCGGGGCTCTGTCGCTGCTCGGTGTTCGGTGACCGTGGGGGTGACCATCAGGGTTCCGGTCGTACAGTTCAGAGAGGCGATGGACATGCAGACGTACATGCACGCTGTGGAGGGGGGTGGCAGCGGGGGTTACACGGAGCGGCTTTCTTTGCATGCGCGCTTCGTCTGCACGAAGGAGGTAGGGGAACGTAGGAGGAGGAGGAGGATGCCCTCGTGAGGGGCTGGAGGGCTAAGAGGGCTAGGAGGGAGAGCTGCCTGGTCAGGCGCCAGGAGGAGGACCCGCCGCTCACTTACCGGTGCGGGTGCGGGTGCGCTTCCGGTGGGGGGCCCTCGCTGTGGCGCCCAGGTGTGGGTGTATGGCGGGTCTGAGGTTCCTGGCTGAGAGCGGCCCTGCAGAGGTGGCCCTTGTGCAATGTATCTGTCGGTATGTCTGTCGTGTGTTCTTTCGCAAATCGCCTCTGTAATGTCGGGTGTCCAGGTCAACTCGGTGTCGTACGTTCAGCTCACGTTCCGATGAAGTCAAACGAAATACTGTATCCGCGGGTGTATCTGCACGATTTCCCGTCTTTAGGCGACGAGTGGTTTGGCGTGTGCTGACATGAGCGTCCTTATCCGCGACATCTTCATCCTTTCTTCCCGTCCTAGTTTGAATGTCCGAATGTTGGATGTCGAGTGTGTGTATGTATGTATGTATGTATGTATGTATGTATGTATGTATGTGCATGTGTGTTTGAACATGTGCGTGCATGTGACGCAGCAGCAGCGCCAGGAGGAGGAGGAGGAGGGGGAGCTGTAGCGACTCAGAAGACTTCAAATGCGTTAGTGCGGCAATGCCCTGTAAGACTTATGAAAGCGCTCTGAGTGCTCTCAGAGCGCTTTCCCCCCTCCCTGGAGGGGGCTGCGGAGGGGGCTGCCGGGGAGGAGGGAGTTGGCGCGAAATGGCGGCGCCTCATGCTGCGGCATCGTGCAGCCAATGCACTATTTAGGCGGGAGGGTCACTCTATCGGATAGATAGATAAGATGGGAAAAAGGGGGGTTGGGGGCTCGAAAGCAGGGGCGGGGTTGTTGGTTGCGGCGGCGGAGGTTTCTTAGAACAAGCCGGCTTTGGTAAATGCAGTAGATGC